AGCATTAAGCACTATACAGACTTGCAACTGGCTGAATAAGGCGATTTTAGTGTATCGAACAGCACAAAATTATTAGTCGACTTACCAAATCCTACTTAGTTTTTACAATGTGCTCTTGTGTGGAAACAGACGCGAAATCCTATGAATGACCAAAGTAACAACCTCTTATTACTATAGTGAGTCTGCATGGCACTGAGTTTAACATCCATTAATCCGACTTCACATATTACAAAAGCACGTATTATAGCGACGCATTAAAGAAGTCCAGAAGAGGTAGAAATTAAGAGTATATTAAACATTTCATTAATTTACAAATGAAAATTCTGATGAAGGGTATTAGCGTTAGTTTGACCGATTGGCATTTCTTCTGATTTCATATTCGAAAATCTCCATAAACCTGAAAAAATAAAGCACATAAGGGCTAGAACAACATGAAGTTATAAAAGGTAATTCTACATACTAGTATACAATTTGAATACACTAATTCTACTTATACTAAGTGAAATTCCCATGTAAATAAAAGTATTTGTAGTCCACAGATGGTCTTTAAACTGATGCCGTATGCATGAATAGACCTCATATGTTTTCCAGTATTAGAGGATTATACTCAGATTTCAAGGCAACATCTGAAACATCCGTACTGTTGAGGCGTCATTCTCTCATCAAGATTACTTGCAGATCAACTTCACACTAAATACGTGTACATTAAATGAAGTATTGCAAATGTTTAACTTAGAAACTGATCCACAATCTCAGTAGGGTCTAATAAACGGAGTTTTATGAATCCTGCAGAAGTTACATTCTCGCATTTAGGAAACTACAGCCATCAAATATAAGCTGAACATGCCTCAATTCTAAACAGCTATGGACAGTGTTAACAGCATAGAGACACTTATAAATATTATAAGATACACAGACCTGTTTTGCTGGTGAGAATAAAAATGCCATATAAAGCAACCTAGACATTCAGTCGTGACACTGCATCTGTACTGCTTCATGTAAATGGAAATTTCAGGAGAAATTCATCTTCACTATTGATGGTCAAAAACACCGCAGCATTAGGTTTGCAGTATCAGTGAGAATGGTATAACAGACAGTAGATTGATAGTAATAGAGCTGACCAGATTCAGTTCTCATAATCAACACAATCCATGTGTACAATAGTACTATTCACTGAACTACTGCAATAAGTGGAATGGTGAGGAAATTTAAACGACTGATTGCCTTCTCCACTGCATTGCATTTGCAGCAACCATGAGAACCGCCCACATTTGTTAGCCTAGCAGTCAGCTAAGCAGATAGTGGCACAATAATAATAGAGCTGAGATATTTTTTATACACTGAATCCACATAACTCATATTACACTGCACCAATCAGTGCAAATATATATTACATTCACTTTGAAATAACCTTTCAACTTACGATAATTCCTGTCCAAGCACAGATAATGTGAGAGACACATACACGATAACTTAGTTAGCCCAAGCCTACTACAACGCTGAATTAAATCTCGCTAATTCTGAAATAACTCTGACATTCTACGGCGGGTAAATTCTGGATCTGTTCTGAAATTGTTTGTTCAGGCGCACAGATTAGAACTCAGTGATTGTTTTCAGCATGACTGGCAATAATTCAGTACCCTGTTCATTTCCTAGGAATTTTCAGGAGTAGATCAGAACCTACTGGATTTGCTTATCAGCGTTGCTTCAGCCGTCTCAGCCCATATTCAGCGCTGCTGAAAGGTGAGGCTTCTGCATGAAGTCAACGATTTGTGTAGATGACGTTACCCTCTAACTATCCTATTATACCCATTATAGCGATCTTTTGACACAGTCCGCCTGAAACACTAATCATTGCAACCAAAATTCTGAGAATGCACCGCAGTCAGATCTTATGACGTGGACATCAACATAACTAGTCAGGAAATGATAATTCCTATCGATGCAGAAAGCATATAACACAATTTTATTAAAAAATTATTGACAAAAGCATTTACCGAGCAAAATTTCAACCAGCATGCCGGGTACGTCCAGCCGAAAATACATGTTTTCTAAATTATCCGCTTGGGAAACCTGATCTTCCTAGCCGGTTAATTAAATCAAAGCAGTGGTAAGTACAGCTGTCTTGAACTACTGCCAAAACTTCAAGTGCTACATCTGTCGTAACTTCTTGAGCACTCGCTCAGATTCTACAGCTTGGTAACAATTTGATTCCACACACTGTTTTGGTACAAGTACATAGTTTTCAGCATGTGGTATCAGTAGCCAAACTTTTGCAGACCGACCATTGATATCAGGGGTGCATCACCGTGGGATCAAATCTCGGACCATGTGCATGGTTGGCGAGAGCCCTAATCGCTGTGCCACCGACTTAAATGTCTACCACGAGATTGCTGTGAGGCTGAGTACCTCAAAAGCACTAGGCAAAGCCGAAAACCCTTTGATTTTATACTTTATCAGCCTATTTGTTCCGTTGGACAGATACTGCTTCTATCTTTTATTTATATGCTGGCATAATTTATAGTAATTGTTAATATGAGAGTTGAAACTAGCCTTAAAACGAGAGTTAAGACACCATATTCTGTAGTGACTAAAGCTTCAGCCAGAGGAGAAAATAACCCAGAGATATTAACTGCAGCTCATATACCAATTCTAATGACCCGCAAACATATCACCTGTTCTGATAGCATGCCTACATCGCCACAGTTCAGCACTAAAACTGTAAAGGCCAAACCAATTGGACACAATACCACACCTTTATCCATAGGAAGCCAGTGTTTCACATACAGAAAAACCAAAAAGAAACGATCAATACGTCATAAGACCTCGGGAACGTCCTCCGGAAAGTCAGACTAGTGTCAGGCCTGTAGTGTTGTTGTTCCTAAAAGTGATTCAGCATTTGAATGCGGCGGGTACACTACCATTATGTAAAGTCTTCTAAACCTAAACTGGTGGCCAGTTACTGGACGGAAATGTCCACACCATGACCCCCCTAGGGAGTAGTGACCGCTCAGTCATATGTTATGATCTTGTTCTTCATGAGCACTTACAGTGGGACGCTATGCGATCATTTATATGCTGTGGCATAGCTGACTATGCCGGAATGCGAAGGCTATCGTTCGACGCAGAATGACCCATAGAATAGGCTGATTTATCTCTAAATGAACACTGCGAAGCGGTAAAACAGATTATTCACACAGCAGTCTCGAATGCCGTCCCTCTAGTCACAATATGGCCGAAGAAAAGGTCCTCATGACTGAAGAGAGGTGGGCAGCGTATTTCGCAAGCGAGACGGAAGGCTTAGTCTGTATGGCGAATATCCGAGAGTCAGACTGGCCACAATGCATACCTGGAACTCGACAACCGTTGCAACACAAGATTCAGGAGCGACAGGAGTTTATTTTAGGCAGGCCCTGTCGAAAACTCTTGGCGGGCCCCCAAAGCTTGTAGGCTGCAGACAGACCTAAAACTTCCGTAAGAGTGGGTAGCGGTGGTAGATGATATGATTTTCAAACAGTGCAGATACGCACCTGTAAGCTGCAGAATGTAATTTACACGCTGTGCGACGAAAAATTGTCCTTCACAACGTCAGAGAGTGACTAAGGTCTAGTTCTTACTGAAACAATGGAGGCAAGCGTGAGTTACAAGGGGGATGTAGCGAGGGCTTCTGGTCATGCCCTTGTTGTGGCGCTGTATTTGAACAGACTAGCGTACACGTATATCCTAGTACTTCTTCGCGTTTATTATTGTGTCTTAATGTTGTCATTACTCGGCATCCACAATGTAAATCAAAAGGCACTTGGGAAGGAGTACGAACGTGTATTATCGCAGTAATCAAAATTCAAAAGTTGAGCGAGTACAATGTAACAATTGTTAACACACAATCCTTAGAGTGATAAACAAATCAAAGTCCAATTACATAATGAAAGTATACTACGATGATGAGTAATAAAATGGGTCACGGCACCCTCTACACATACACAGTTAGATTCACTCACTCCTAAGGTCTTTGTAGGGCTGTATAAGGCAGACATAAAACCACATCTTGGCGTGCAAAATATCACTGCACCCTCACTGTTTAGAAAAGACACGGACTTTTTGGAAAAAGAGATGATGGGCATTTGAAACAAACCAATTGATTAACGGCTAAAGAAATTAGGTCTTTCACATTTATCTATTGGCGGCTTAGGGAGGAATTAATTACCGCCTATAGGACTGAGAATGGCCAGAATCATTCAAACAAGGGTGTTCTGCCATTAATTACCTTTGGGCTTCCTCACGGGAATACACGAAGGGTAGATCACTTGAAAGTAAGGACTCGAGTGCACTCCAATTTCTTTTCACTGCGAGTTTGCTGTTCTTGGAACTTCTTACCAGCAGATGTAGCACCGTCGGTGGGCAGCTTTAAGAGAAGGCTGGACAGTCATGTAGCGACACAAGGACTGGGTCCGAACGGCCTATCCACTCAAAACCCACACACTATTAATGGTTATTCACCTAGTCTCATCTTTTACTTCGTCATTGTTTCCCTTGTCTAACTCTCCTGACCACTCCAACTGTTACGCCCGTTAGATATTATTCATACATAAATACGTGCATATGTATGCATTACATACATATATATCAAATAGTAATTCAATTAGCTCTTTGTTTTTACGTTTCTTTCTTTCTTTTTCTTTTTAAGTCTTCACAACCTACACTAATCATAACTGTTATTATTATTGTTACCTCTTTTTTCGACCACATTGGACGACCAACCAGTGAAAAGATCGATTACATTTGTTAGGCAACATGGTCTTAACACACCGCATACTACAGACTACATAAATCAATCTCAACACCACTGCTTTTGGTGTCGATCAAAGCTACGACAGTCGAGTGGCGGAAAGAACTACGCAAATCTTTACCGAAGACCAGGAACCCTTACCCTACAACGAAGAAAATAGCAGAAAGAAATCAAGTTGGTTTACTATAGCTCGTAAAAAACAATATTGGATATTGTGCACATTTTGACTGTCGCGTTACAAAAGCAGCCTTGTGAGTGCAGATTTCTGGTTGTTTTTTTATTATTAGCCTCAAAATACATTTTCATTGATAAATAAAGTAAACGAAATCATTGAATTATGACCAGGACTCAAGATCCAGATGCTGAGATGCAGGTCCAGTGTCGTAAAACGGAATAGTAGGGGAGTCTTCGAAGTGCACCATGGTTAACTGTGAAGTTTTGTTTGGCGTGGCCCTAATCTCCATCCTTTTAGAATTTGATTAAAAGGGTACATAGACAGAGCCAATACCACATGGTCAGATAAGGAGTTCCCGGATTTAACCACCCACTTGAGCATCTAAATTCCACACTTATTTTGTTCAAACACGGTCTGAGCACCTTTTTGTGATGACTTGGCTAAATCATTTTGATCGCAACCCGTGCTGGCCCTCTACCAATATTTGATACCTTTCTTGTGACACAAAGCTGGAACATCTAAGTCTCTCCTCACTATCATACAGATTGAGGTCCATTAATTTCGGCTTATCATTTATTAAAGGGTGATTTGGGTATTCACCTTTTCCAGTCCATTTGGAATACACATCCAATATATATATATATATATATATATATATATGCGATTGTACAGCTTGAGAATTATACCGTTGAAGGCAGTAACTCCTCGCTGAACGCCTCTCCTTTCATAAGTAGAGATTTAATTGCTATTTTATGCTCTTTTCGACGATGTGTAGTGTTGCAATTTGATCCGCACATGATTGCAGCTTGTTGCAGGAGGAGTTTGCATCCAGAGCATCTTTCAATTTCTCCAGAATAATATGATTTAATATTTATTTTCAGTGGATAGTAGCATAATTCCGCACTAGTTTTCGCTGTTTCATGTCTCTTTTTTGGTAGTTAACAATAATGGGTATTGTTTGCAAGTTCCAGAACTGAAGTGCATTTACAGCACATGAATTCAACGTTATATCTACTGACAATAGTCTGATTTAAAAGATTTTTTTTATCGTTGAATATTACAAAACAAATGTGTTTTGACGGTTTCATGATAATAGAATCCCAATGAATAAGCGTAATAGTATGTAATCTTCATCGGCAATATAAAGTTCTTAACTGTTATCAAAAAAGCGTTGTATGATGGTATATGACGATATATTCACCCGAAATACGGAACTGACGAGCAATACGAGATAACCCTTTCTTATTAAAAAGGAATGTGTGCTTTTGCCCAACTAGTATTTCGAAAAGAAGTTTGTTTAGTTGAAAATTCTCAGTGTACTTTGGCTTCACTTACCATTAAACGACTTTTGCTTTTTGATGGCCCAACAGTATACTTTTAGCTTATCGGTATAAGCATTCAACTTTTAGCCTATGGATCCTTGAGTTCAAATCCCCCTCTATATCTACTTCAGCTTGAGGAAACTGAGTGGCATCATCATCCCTCCTTGTAGAATTTGATGTGGCTCATAGTTTTTGAACTCGAGAGACCTATCCAATGAAGTGAGGTCAAGCTAAACAGTATTTATATTGTTTAATTGTTCGGGGGCTGATATCATATTGTTAATTACTTTGGCTGTTATTATGTGCCCACTGATTTCATGTTCTGTTAAAAATATCTTTTTCTTTGTTTCTTGATAAAGGGAGGGATGAGTGTGACAGACTGGTCGTGGGATTCTGTTTCTTTTCACCACCTCATTGTGGTCATGTTAATATTCTCCGTCTACCTACTTCCATTGTTGAAAGTTTTCTTCAATTATACAATTGGGAAAAAATTATTTTCAAAAAGAAAACAATTAAAGCGTGCAGGTGAATGGGCCATAGTGACCGGTGCTACGGATGGAATAGGTAAAGCCTATGCTGAACAACTGGCTAAAGATGGCTTAAACATTATGCTGATTAGTAGAAATTTAGAGAAATTAAATAAAGTTGCTAAAGAGATTGAGTCTTCTTATGGGGTGAAAACACGTGTTGTTGTTGCAGACTTTACGCAGGTAAGTTATCTTGTATTTATGTAATATTTACTGACTATGGTTAAGTGTTCGTATAATAAGCTAATTGCAAGCGTGGTCAGTACATAACCCAGAGGTTCTTGGGTCGTAAACACGCTCTACTACCTATGTGTCATTAATCCCGGTTTGATTCCGGGCCAATGCATACTCCTAAACCTCTCGTAGTTCACTTGCCGATAGTGAGGTTGGAAACGAGGGAAGATTGAGTGTGAGACTGGCAACCCCACTCCATAAAATCGATACCACCGCTACTGATATTTAAAAGACATGAAGCTTACTCGAAACGAGTCACAAAAAATATAATATGATCTAGTATTATGTATTGCGTGAATAAAGTAACAGGAGTAGTTGTTTAGTTCTGCTGGACTGTCGCATTTTGACGCAGTTTGTCGATTCTTGAGTGCACGAATTTTCATACAACCGGTTCCCTTTATTAGTTTGAACAGAGAAAGAACGAACATGTTTGCAGGATAATAAGAGCTCGTTTTATTTCGTGGATACTTATCAACTGCATACATCATAAACAAAATCAAAGTATGTTTCAAAAAAGTTTTGGAACATACTTTTTCATAATTACTTGGAGTTATAGATAGAAGGTATAAGGAACATAATTCCAGAATTTGATGTAGGTAAACAGATTATCCAGTGTCAAAAAACAACTAATTATGTATAGTGGAATTAGATAAGAGGGGTTAGAGTTCAGCTTTCTATTGGAAAATACAGATTGCTTAGAGGCATATTACAGGGTCAGGGTCAGAGAACAGAGTGAATTTACACATCTTGTGGTGGGGAGTTTAAGAGGGTGGGGGTGAATAGTGAAGTAACATTTCTTTTTAACTTAAACAGACAATTAAGTAGATTTAGAAACTTGAAAGTCAAAATTGAATAGAATGTTTCGTAACAAGACAAACACACGCATACTGACAAAAAGGCAAAATAAAAATAAAATAAGATAACATAGAATTAGGGTTACCAGGGTAGTGAATGATTAGTCACACTATCTTTTTGTATACAGCGGTCTGGTCGAAGTCTCTTGATAGCAATGGCTTCTGCAAAGCGAAGTAGCCATGGGTTTCTTTGCGTATTGATTATTTTGAAGGCTTGGCTAATTTCTACTGTGTGTCCTGTGTCAATTAAATGTCTGGCGATTGTACTCGATAACACTTTTCTTCCTTTTGTACGGAGACTTAGGAATGTGCTCAGAAAATCTAGTAGATGCTCTCCTCTCAGTCCTTTCTATGTACTTGCTTCCGCAAGTGCAAGTGAATTGGTAAATGCAGTTGGAGTTGACGTGAGTAGGGTACTCATCTACTTTTGACTGGGTTAATGAGCACACAGTGTTGTGAAATAGGATCAGTCTGGCGGCTGGAAACGTTCTTTTTAATGCACCTGTGATTCTTTTTTGTGTTCTTGTGGATACGTCTTCCCCTTTTTACGCTAGGCAGATGAAAACTGGTTTCTTTTCAACGGTGTCAGGTTTCGGTTTGTGTGCTTCTTCATTTCTATACTTTAATAATAATAATAATAGCTTTATTCCGAACAGTATTTGTGGTACAGGTATGGAATTTTCAGCGTGCATTACAGTATTGCATGTAATTACCTCATAAATTTTTATAAGATTTTAAAAATAAAAAGCACCAACAGCAAAAAGAAAAAAAGAGAAATAAAAAAAGAACAGCATTGTATTCACATATTTAAACAGCGCACCACAGGACATGAAAAATAAAATTAGTGTGTAATAGAATATGTGAGCAACAATATCATAGTAACAAAGAAAGGAGAACAAAAGCTAATGGGAACTATTTCGGGGATATCCATTCTCGATAAGGTTCTTTTCGATGACCGCGTACTTATTTTTCAATCTTGTTTTCCGAACATATTTCTTTGGCTCTTCTAAAGAGCGTTTTTACTAGACCTCGTTTGTGACTGGTTGGGCCAAAACTGTGATAGTTTAAGTATTGACCAGTCCAAGTTTCTTTCCTGTAGGCACATTTTTGAATCGTCCCATCGTTTCTTCTATTTATGTTGACATCTAGGAAATGGAACTGGTTGTTTCTTTCGTAGTCAGTTGTGAATGCGATGTTGGGATGGTCCGCATTGAGTTTCTCAAACATTGTGGACGCGTGTTCTATATCATTGCAGACCACAAACGTGTCGTTGACATATCTGCAGTAATAGGTGGTTCGTTCTATTTCTTCTTTCATTCGAGTCTGTTCAAGATGAGCCATGAATATGTCAGCAAGAACAGGACCCAGAGGTGAACCCATAGCCACCCCGTTAATCCGCCGGTGTAGCTAATTGTTGAATCGGAATTGAATATTCTTTGTACATAGAAGTATCAATTTTAGTAGCTCATTTTGTTCCAGCTTTTGTGTCTTCGATATAGGTTTCGTATTTATTTGCATCCTTCAGTGAGGCGTATTTGCAACATTCAAGTAACTGATGTCATCTTGGAGATTGAAACCCAGTGCGTTAGTCAGTGATGCACTCAGAGACGTTATCACTTAGCTATTCAAGCTGACGATTGATCTACTGTAGGACTTTCATGAACTTATTGGTTGGTCACTAGGGAGGAGCTAATGTCATTTATCTTGAAGGGTTGCTGTTGACTGAAGTTTATCAAATCAAATCGCATCGCATTTTTGAGTCATCCAAAATAACTGACTACTGGAATTCAGCCAGCGTTAACACTAAGAAGTAGCTAGACACATAACTTTACTTCCTAGTGACAAATCGGTGCATCCACTATAGTTCTACAGAAGGCCAATCTTTAACCCCAGGAGTTCACTGCTAACGTCTCTGACAGTAACACTGGGTGAGGGGAAATCATTTCCTATGGAGTTTCAGATATGCCTCACTGATATGTGTTAACAGCCACAAAACCTAGACTCCCAGACATCCCGAAAACTGCCTCCAACCACAGCTAACATTAATTAATTCAAAGTTTACCATAATAGTGAGTCACCTATCAGAGCGCACGGTGATGGCGAACCATTTCAAACTTGACTCATAGAATTCAGTCTGCACCAGAGAAAGGACTAGACACATTACACTAGTTGCCACCTACTATCCGATCAAAGTACTTGTTGTTCTACCATATTACTATACTTCCTCTTCTTCTTCACATTTCCGCCTATTATCGTTCTTTCAATTCTGTTTTTTTTCTCTGTTTTGTCTGCCTTTGTGTACTACATAGAGTGGTGTTGTGTGTTGAAACTCATTCAATCAGTTAGTCAGTTAGTTAGATAAATTGATTAGTTAGAACTTTTGGTTAAACTCTAGTGACCAATCAATACAACTACTTGTTTCTGCACGTTTATAAGACAGTGGTAACTTGATACTAAGTGTATAGATGTTTACATGCACTTGTTTGTTTATCTGTTTGTCTGTTCTAATCAATTTGGTCTCGTTAAAATTAAGTGGTAAAGCACATGAACCAATAATAATAATCATATGGAAATGTAATCTATGCAGCTAAATATGCGGTTCCCGTATCGTTATTTAGCAAGAGACATGAAGATGTTTGGTTTCTGATACTATTAGCCATTCTTTTCCTAATCATTGAGTAAGAGGAAGGTTTATTCAGTGCAGTAGTAGTTTAACTAAATTACTTAGTCAGTCACATTTATATTTGGTAAAAAGAAAGGACTTACTCTCATTACACTTTATCGATAGCTTACCAGTTGAACAAGGTGGTCCGGCTTGTGTATTGCAGTGACTCGATGAGTTGCACGAAGCTACACTGGCTACAACGAATGTTCCTGCAGGTTGTATTACAACCAGAAAGGTTGTTTAGATATCTAGTTAAACTAAAAGTAGTCACCATCACTGTATAACTGATTTGGGGGGTGGGGTGGTGTCTGTGGGCGAAGTCATACTGCTGGTGAATGGAGATGTAGCTGCAGTTATGTGTTCCCCTCATATGACCAAGCAATCAGCTGTGTTGCTTCTCCGTCCTGGTGAAAGGGATTGGAAACGGTCGACTCAGAAAGCTATGCAACCTGACCTACCTTGTGACACTTCTTAGTCGGTGGTAAGATCTTAATACGAATACACCTCCAAAAACCAACCTCAATGGGTAGTATATGATGGACCTTAAGCAATTGTCCTCCGGAATTACGCTTCTGCTTCAGATATTTCAAGAATAAATTTACTTCCACGTTGTGGATACCAGGGAAGCAATAGTTACCCACACACTTCCATTAGGACATGAGGCATTCCATGATCATCACCCACCATCTTGCTTTGCTCCCCATTCTCACTACAAATGAATAAATGACTTTACATGATTAGTAAAGGTCTGGATAAGGTTGATATTGAGGAAGAAAGTTTATTGAAGAAGGAAATTAATTTTAAGAGGTACAAAATGTCTAAGGGATTGAGTTCATCTGTGCTGTCACAAAGGATATCAAGCAATTTCACCAACAATCTGGTATTATTGACTCTTGAAATGTCTCTTTAGCCAAGACCAGTTCTGCTATAACGTTGGCTTACATTCTGTGAGAACGAATCGCATATCAAACACTTAAAGTTTTGTTCAATATTTTCAGAAAACTAGTGTTTTTATTCTTTTCACCTAGAAGGATTACATCACTTGCCTATTGTAGGCAAGCGGAACTTTCTCCTGATAATAACAAGTCAGTCAGTCCTGAAGACACCGAATTCGACTACAATCGCATCCTTTAGTGGCGACACTGAGTCACTCTGATGAACATTACTGGTATCAGGGAATCACTGGGGTCTAGTTACTAGATTTTAACCAAAAGTGGAACAGTAAAACAAACAGGAAATACTTAAATTGAATTATTCATGCATATTTATGATCCCCAGTTTAATCGACCAACCTTGTTCCGGCATATAGGCACGTTGAATGGATGTCTTGGTATGACCAGGATGGATAACTCAGAGTTACTTATTTTATCGATGGCTAGCAGTAGATTTCAGGACACATTCATTTCGTTCTATTTAGGATTGGTTAGCTGGCTGTAATTATCCCCCATTGACGTTTGAAGCAAACACTAATCGTGTCAAATGCTCTAAAAGCGTTACTCATTAAGGCACCAAATATTTCTTTTTTACTTGAGGTTTGATTACCGATGGAAAAGAAGGAGAGGTGGTCAGTCCATGATGTGGTGTCGTGGGATGAAGGATGTTTGTGCCAGGTTAGCATCGGTTGGTGCGTCACGTCTCCCTGGTTGGAGTCCGAGAGATAGCTCGAATCGATGGTTCGAAACGTTATCGGATATGGCCAAGAATCGTAGTTAATGACGAACGTGCTGCAATTTCCTTTTTCATTCCCTTCCCGATGATAGTTGACGAATACTATGTGAACTTGTTAAGTGTGACTGTTTTCCTTCCAGATGAAGGTCTTTATTCGTCCTCTACTTGTATTTATACTTTTAATATATGTTGTTTTATTATTATTGTGTGGCGCATCTTCTCGGTGCCATATTGTACCAAGTTTTTCTGCGTCTAAATAAATAAACAAATAAGTAAATAATTGATCACTGGTTGAGGACACTGACTGAAATCCAGGAGTACTGGAGAGCTGTTTTGTCCTAGTTTGGGATGCTTCATCAGTGCGCACCCGCAACCACCCCACGTGAGATGGGATCCGGGACTTTAAGATTAAGTGACCAAGTTCACTGAGCATTCCAGCCACTTGGACTGGAATTCAATCACTTATAAATTGTAATTTCTGTCAATTAGTGACAAGTGAGCACTTGAAAAGTTGTCTTTTTATCATGAAATTTGTTTAAATCACTTTTCCCCTTTTTCGCCTTTTTCATTTTAGAATAATATTTATGAGACAATTGAAAAAGAAATTTCCAGTCTGTCATCTATTGCTTGTCTAGTTAATAATGTTGGCATGAGTTATCCACACCTTGATGATTATGCCGGTGCTAAATTTATAAATTGTAATTTTATACAAGATATGATCACGTGTAATACACACTCCGTCGCTGTCATGACTTATTTAGTCCTGTCAAGATTGTTAAAGCAAAACTCAGAGACTAGTCCAGCCATTATAAATATCGGCTCATATTTTGGCACAATGACATCACCATTTGCTACATTATATGGTGCGACAAAAGCTTTTATTCATCATTTTTCCCAATCGATTGCAGCGGAACTCCGTCTGTCGTCGCCGTCGTCATCATCATCATCAGCAACAACAACTAGTGGTCAAAAAGTTATCATACAAACAGTTTGTCCATTTTTTGTTGTCACAGCTATGTCACGAGCTAAACGACCCTCGTTGTTTATCCCAACGCCTAATGACTATGCCAATAGTGCGTTGAATATGTTAGGCGTAGAAGAATTGACAATGGGTTATTTTACACATGCGCTACAAGGCTACTTAGTGAATGTTGTACCACTTTCATGGGTACATGATAAATTTAAAAAAATGGCGGAGAAAGGACGTAAGAAATACGAATAAAAGCGGAGAAAACAAAAGAAGGCGTGGAGAACAAACTTCTCATCTTATTGTTTCTGTCGTACAATAGTCTCTTCATATTCTCCTCATTCTTGTTCTTTTTGTTGTTGATCATTGAATATTCAAGTTTCAATGGCCTCGTTTTAAATGAACACTGGTTTGATTTGTTTGTGGTGTGTGTGTGTGTGTGGGTGCATTTGAAATCACACTAGGGAGAAAAGAGTCTCTTTATTCTTCCTCACAAACTCCTTTTTAATTTTACTATTTATACCCCTGCCTATTTTGTGATGTGCAAAAATATACCTAAATTTGCCCATAATGGTGGCGTGTTTTATGCTATGCGAATGTAGACGAAGTCAAGGTTAACCTTGTATAGTTGAATTTTCTGTTAAATAGCATCTATCTCAGAAGAAATACATACGACAGTGTGAAGATAGATTGGGCACACGCCACTGAGGAGATTGTCGAATGACGTCGTGCTCCAGTTGGTGGTTTATTTGCGAAGTCAAATTGATGTATGCGCTGAAGATGTTGCCTAGTACGGCAATGAAAGCTTCGCTAATAAACCATCCAGCTAGCTCAGAGAGCACAACTACGTCAAAATCATCCACCTGAGTTACAAATCTTCTCCATCATATCTAGATTGAGGCGTGTCAGAGGTTCATTGGTAGAGTGTTGGTCAATCACCTACTTGGTATAGGTTCGATTTCTGGCTGAAAGTGCACTCCTAAAGCTGGGAAAAGAGAAAAGGTTGTTCAAGTGTTGGTTTGTAGCGATTTGATTGGTTACAGGATTTTCATCATAAGGTGACATTAGTTAGAGAACCATTGGAAAACCTGGGAGTACTGGACAGCTGTTTCGTCCTAGTTTGGGACTCTTCAGCAGTACGCACCCACCGGTGTATGAGACTCACCATTTCAAACCATAAAAACAAAACACCGCAGGTACTGAAATATCTAAAGCTTGTATCTATCTCCTAGGTGAAGAAGCACAGTCTTTTGAACACCTTGAGTATCAATCTTAGAATGTTTGGCATGCGATTCACTCATATCAAGTGTGAGGTGGTGGTGGTGCTACAGGACTGGATTACATCGACTCCTGGTTCACTTTTATGCGACGTTTCATCAACTCTAATGGACTGATTACTGCTGACGAAATCTCAGCACGGAGGAGAAAGTCTCGTGTGGCATTTGCCAACTTACTTCATCTCTGGCGTAAACTTGATATATGACTTTCGATGAAAGGACATATTTACTGCGCACCAGTTCGCACTGTTGTCTTCTATGACTGTGAGAAATAGCCATTGTAAGTAGAAGACATAATGAAAAGACTAACTGTCTTCGATCATAGGTGTCCGCGTTCTATCTCCCGTGTTAAGCGACACAATAGTGTGAGTAATATTGAGGTTAAGCGTCATGTGTTAGGTAAGGCGATAAAGTATATCGATGAGATTGTGAAGGTAAATCGATTGAGATGGCGAGGACAGGTGTTATAGTTGCCGAACTATCGCCTTCCTCAACGAGCAATACCAGCTAATGTATAGGATTAAGTTGGGGGATCCACCACAGTCTTATAGAAGGTCGAATAGCTCACTGGTAATGCCACTGACTTTTAGCACTGGATGGATGACGCAGGTTTGAATTCTAGGAGGTATCTGAATTCCTTGAAGATGTCAGGTACGGTCTGATGACCAGTGCGGACAGGGCTTCCGCTGACCGATTGCCTACAATCATTTAACATCAACTCAGAGTGCTCTGTGATAGTGAACCACCTGGCGTAGTGGCCACATTGCGAGCTTCACTGATAGAATTCACTGTGTACCAAACTAAGGGCTAGACGCGTGATCAATGAAATAAAGGTTGTATTTGTGTTTGATGATGGTAGCCGATATGAACAGTTATTCAACAACCACTTGCAATTACAAACATTTGATGATGGGACGCATCTTATGTGTAATCATAATACCTGGATACGCATATGTTTCGTGGTGGTGGAGAAGGTCGTGTGGAGTGAATTTCGGTTACTGTTAGAGGTTCCAGGTACCTGGAACAAATACTGCATCTTCCTTACTGTCAGTTATATGTGTGTTGTTTGAGGGCTGATAATATGGAGCAGATACTCCGAGAGTGAAGTAGATGGAGGTGGGATCCGTACCCAGGATTCGTTTACTGATTAGCAGAATTCGGCAGCCTAGTTGGTTGGTTGAAAGTTGATAAGTTTCTAGATGAAACAAAGAAGAATTAATTGAAATAAGTTGAATGACTGACCATTACAATAGATATTTGAAATTAACATTAACGGCAGAAGACAAGGGCCAGGCAACAGATCATTTATTGAGAAAATCTGCAGATATTTATAGATTTTTATGTACATTATTATTAGCGTTATTGCTAGCGGAGAAGCAACCTCTTCTGATTGGTTTTTTTTCTTGCTGAAGGTTATTCTGTCATCTCTTTGTGACCGTTTCTTAGAAAGTTGAGCCATATATCTGCGAATCGTATTTGCACACACTAAGTCTTCTGTGATTGGTTGTTGAGTTCATTAAGGTAAAGCTTTGTTATTGTTTTTTTCTCATGACCTCGATTCAGGACGTAAACAATGACGTAAATTGTTGACTACAATTTTGTCTTGTAGACAGGTCTCACCACAATATTATCTCTTACAGTTTCATACTTGTCTTCAATGTAGATGTCGTGATTAAAACAGCACCAGTCAGGGGTCATCGAAAACCAGGAAGCACCGGACAGCTACTTCGTCCTTGTTTGCGACAATCCAGTACTGCGCCACACTGGCGATAAATAAATCTGTGTATTTGAATAAAGCAAGAACAACAGTGGTTTGTGCAGAATAATATGGTACCACCATTTATTTCGTTGGCTTCTCATCAGCTGCTTACAGCCTAAATAAATTATGAGGTTTGCGTACAGAAAATTTTGAACATACTTGCTAATTTTACATGTTGTCAGTTGACAGAAAGTTCCACAATAAGTGAACAGTGCTCAGAAAATTGCGTTTATATAGTTTTTACACAGGCAGTTCAAGTTTAAACAAAATAAATGTATGCATACAATGGTAAGGGAGTTACGTAATAAAGAAAAAATATGCGTTAGATACAGAGTGACTAATAAATTAGTTAACAGCTATAACGGCTGCTGTAAGCAGCTGATGAGAAGCCAACGAAACAAATGATGGTACCATATTATTCTGCACAAACCACTGTTGTTCTTGCTTTATTCAAATTCATCAAGGGGAATAAATGCATGAAATCTGTGTATGAACATGCCCAAATTTTCGTCCATTTAAGCATGCGTTTGGAGAGACCAATAACAAATGATACCATTTCTTATTCACCCAATATGCTGACTGCATGTTCATAATCTGCAAACATATGAAAGTTGACACCAAGTTTTATTGGAAGCTAAAGATCTCTTCTTTGTCCCATCTAACTTTGGTCAGATGGCCTGTATTACTTCTATCACTCAAACGCTTTACCAAATTATATAAATTGGTATTGTAATTTAGTCTGATTGGGCCTAGCCTGAACTTAGTTTGACGAACACTGTTATGAAACAATGGAGTCATAGCAAACAGTATCTTACCTTTAATATTTGTGTTTTGTGACAAACAGTACAGAAGTAATCAAGTATTGGTTTGTAGGGATTCGCTGGATTGGTTACAGGATTTCATCATGAGCTGACATTGGTTAGAGAACCATTGGAAAACCTGCCAAGGAGTACTGGACAACTGTTTCGTCCTAGTTTGGGACTCTTCATCAGTACACACCCAACCAGGGTTCGAACCCAGGACCTTCTGGCTACAAGGCGGGCTAGCTCGTAGACCATTAAGCCACTTGGACACGATGCAATGGCTTATGAAACAGCTGTCTAATACTCTCAGGTTTTCCAGTGGTTCTCTAACCAATGTCAGCTTATGATGAAATCCTGTAACCAGTATAGAAGTACATTCAATCTTTATTAAACATATCATTTTTAGATTGACTTTCTACGCATCATTTCGGATGAGTAATTGGTCATATAAATTTTCACTTATCCGATGTCCTGTGGACAGAAAGCTTTTCTCCTTGTTTCTGGATTGATGGTAATGGCCATTGAAGGCGGACAGTTAGGATAAACTTTTATTGAATGCACAGATTAAGCTGAAAATTTGTGATAGTAGCTGCCTCAGTTATGCTTAACAGTAGTGTAATTCCATTGAGTTCCTCGTGGAAATTAAGGCTTTAACAACAAGTTTCAATTTCATGCTCTTCTCTGCGTTTCCGTTTACCTGGATATATGACTGTGCATCAACTTTTATTTACTCCTGCTCCTACTCCTCCTCATACGACCTGCTCCATTTCACCGTTGTGAAGACTAGTTAATAAGTTGAATGAAATTCCTCAAATCTCTCTCTATCTACCAATATTAAGGTATTTTGCTTAGTAAATATATTCATCTCTCATTATAAGCAGTACGCATCGATGACCTGATCTGAGATACATGGCTGAAACTTCAGCTTACACAGTCAACCTGTTTATCATTCAACTATTAGCATGAAATCTTATAGCGCATGAATTTTAGCATTTATCGATCCACGGTGTATAGTGTGACATCCCGAAATGAATTCGAAATACGCTAAACAGACTCTTACGAGACATCACACACTAGGTAGGCTGTTGATAGGAATCTGAATGGTGAACGAGTTGGTCATTGGGTTCAATGGTGAAATGGAGGAGGAGGGAATGAAAGGTAATCGACAGTCATTTATCCAGGTAAAAAGCACCACAGAGAAAAGAATGAAGTGAAGAAGTGTTTTTGAATTGCTATTATCCATGAGGAATACAAGGGAATTATAAAACCGCTGAGCACAGCTGAGGCAGTTACCATCACAAAAATATTCGGACTGATATGTGCATTCAGGAAACGTTTGTCCTGTTTGTCTGCCTATAATGACCATTACCATCAATCCAGAATCCTATGGATAGAAAACTATTCTACTTGTATCTGGATTGATGGTAATGAACATTGTAGGCGGACAGACAGGAAAAACTTTTCCTGAATGCACACATCTGGACGAAAATTTCTGATGGTAACTTCCTCATATATGCTTGACAGTAATGTAATTCTCTTGAGTTCCTCGTGGAAAATAAGGGCTAAACAGCAAGTCTCCATGTTATTCTATTCTCTGTGATGCATTCTGCCTGAATCCTCTTCCTCCTCCTCCTCATATGATCTCCATTTCACCGTCGGACCCAATGAACAACTCTTTGCTCACTCACATCCCGGTCAACAGCCTACCGAGTGTGTGATGTGTGCGTCGG